ATATTTTGGGTTCTTATGGGGTACAACAGTTTAACTAAGCCTTTGAGGATTTTATAATGTATATTCTTCAAAAATCAATGGGTATATATAATTACTTTAAAAGTCCCAAAATGGATGTAGCAACTAAGGATTCTAGCTTTAATGTTGATATTTGGTTGCCTTTTCAACCAAACACAATTCCATATTACTTTTGTAATACAGTAAATAGCCTAAAGTTATCTTAATGTAACGTTCAACCTTAAAATGAGTAACACATCCATGGCCACATGTTGCGGTTACTGTAACTATACATTTCTTCTTATGTAATCATATAAAGTCTGCATGTTCAATATAGCATGCAAAGGTCATCGCAGGTCTGTGGAGATCTTCACAATTGCTGTAATAATCTGGTAGAATCTCGAATGGCATTGATCACTTGCACCATGTACGTTTAATGTAATCTCAACTGCAATTCAGGTCATTAGGTTCAGCTATTAAAGAAGCACAGTGATAAGTAACACATTGTGTTGAATAAATAAACAAAATATCTGACATTATATTCCCATTGGAATTTGGTTGTGCTTTTAGATGGTTGAAGACATAGTGATAACACATTGGGAATTCAACTACATTTTGGCTGTCTTTTTGAGTGGGTGAATGTAGGTTGTAATCTCATTGATCAACGTCTCAACCAAATACTACCCAATTATCCACGTTGAAATGATGTGGTGGCCCAGTGGGTAGTTATCAAAATAACTATGAACTAATCATAAAGCATGTGTCAGCATGGGATGTAAAGGTACAGTATCTTCCCTGATGAGAAATATATAATTGTGATTTCCCTGGATCTTTCCTATTTCCTAATCTTCCTTTCTATTTACAGAACCCTGTCTCATGGAGCTGTTGTCAAAGACTGGACTAGAAGATCATTATGAAAACAAGCTGACGTTAAGTACTGTCCTTGAGATAAATGCTAATACTACATCAGATGAACCACTTACCACTATGAAGTCACTTCCAGGGGCCTTCCTTAAGAAATTAATGATGGCAAATGTGAATGCTAGGAGTGTAAAATGTCTGACCACTGACCAGGAAGTTCCCTATGATGGAGTAGACAACCTGGACACTGACTCTGATAGCAGCAATGTCATTAATCCACTGGACCTGATAACTGCCCTGTTTCTGTGCTCAGATGGTTTCCTGCAGCAGGAGATGGTCCAGAAAATGTCCATGTGTCAGTTTGCTGTTCCTCTCCTGCTGCCAAACTGTGACACAGAACAAAGCACGTTGATGCTGTGGGCCCTGAGGGACATAGTGAAGAAGTTTAGACCCTCTTCACAAACGGCCACAAAAGCTTTCGTGGAGGAGAGAATAGTTGTCTCTGATATTCCTATGGTGTCTTTTGTTAGGCTAGGAGAGAGCAGCTTGTCCAAGTCTCAGATTTTGAACAAGTTGCTTAGTAACCCTCAACAGTACCATGATACATTTGTTCATCGTGATATGGAATGTGGCGATGTCCCTCAGAGGATTTCAGATGGTCTAGTTGAAATCAGCTGGTACTTTCCATGTGGGAACAGAAACATAGACATGTTCACTAAGCCTGTGGCTGTGGCCAATCTCAGAGGAGACATCAGGTCCTTTGAAAAACAGTTCTCCTTTCTGTGTCAAACATCAGCTGCAGTTTATATTTTCATTGATGACTTCGAGGCAGATCTCAAGGTTTTGGAAGGAAAAAGCACAAAAGCAGAGTTATTTCTGGTTGTCAACCCTCAGAGAAAAAAATTCAAGGTGGATACATTGAAGAAAATGATCGCACAATACAGTATCAAAGAAACAAATGTGATTTTGAAAAAGAAGCAGAATGATGCAGAATTTGTCAAAACCCTGCAGTCATCTGTGGGTGACATCATCGAAAAAAGTAAAAACAGATTGACAATTGAAAACATGGCTGACGTGGCTCATCAGTTTGGGATTCTGATTGATGAAGACGGTGAGTGTCAGAGTGCCAGGAAGATGGCATATGAAATCACCAGGAACATCACAGACACAATTAAATTCAAAGATGAACAGCTACCCTTACAAGGGCAAATCTGGAAAGAGCTTTCCCAGTTGGAAAAGGAGAGGTGTAGGCTGAGAAAAGCAGAGGATCAAGACATTGAACACTACAAGAGCTCTCTGAATAAAAAGGAGGAGGAATTGAGAAAGAAGCAAAATAAATGTGACATGTCAGATGCAATGGAAAAGTTCATTTTCGGAATGTCAAGTTCAGGAGCTGAGCGATCCTATTTCCTCAAATGGATGCGGATAAATCTGGACAATCTGTCACGGCAGAACCTGTCTGGCTTAAGAGACCGTTACAAATATCTTTGCCAACATTCTCCGGAGAAAAAAGACAACATTAAAGATTTGGATAAGCAATTATCTGACTGTTCCTTAGGTCTGGAACACTTCCTGCGTGAGTTGGGCCAGTTATATGAAGCTGCCTGCTCCCTCCCTGAAAGTAGCCTACAAAGAAAACAGATGGAGCATCTCCCTGGGTTGTGTGCTCAGATGCTGTTGGATGGCTCCCCTGTTGAGCTTGTGGATGGAGATGCATCAAATATCCCTTTGAAATGGATATCAGCTGTACTAACTCAGCTTCATACTCTTGTCCAATCCAACAGCAAGATCCGGGTGGTCACAGTTTTAGGGGTCCAAAGCACTGGGAAGTCCACTCTCCTCAACACCATGTTTGGTGTCCAGTTTGCTGTCAGCAGTGGAAGATGCACCAGAGGGGCCTTCATGCTACTGATTAAAGTCAACAAAGAACTCAAGGAGGAGCTGAAATGTGACTTCATCATGATCATTGACACAGAGGGGTTGAAAACACCAGAGTTGGCTCAACTAGATGATAGCCATGAACATGACAATGAACTGGCCACAGTGGTGATAGGACTCAGTGATGTCACTATTATCAACATCGCCATGGAGAACTCCACAGAGATGAAAGACATTCTACAGATTGTTGTTCATGCTTTTATCAGGATGAAGGAAGTGGGGAAGAAGCCAGTATGTCATTTTGTGCATCAGAATGTGTCAGACATGTCTGCTCATGACAACAACATGAGGGACAGGAAGAAGTTGTTGGAACAGTTGAATGAAATGACCCTGGCAGCAGCCAGAATGGAGAAGAAGGAGAATATCACCAACTTCACTGACGTGATGGACTATGATCCAGACACAAGCAGCTGCTACATCCCAGGACTCTGGCATGGGACTCCCCCTATGGCTCCAGTCAATGCTGGCTACAGTGAGGCGGTGTACAACTTCAAGAAGACCTTGATGAAAGATTTTAGAATCTGTCAGAGAAATGATGATTTGACATATTTCCTGAAATGGACACAAAGCTTGTGGGAGGCAGTGAAATTTGAGAAATTCATCTTTAGTTTCAGAAACAGCTTGGTTGCAGATACATACTCCAGATTATGCTCTGCATACAATGGTTGGGAATGGGCCTTCCAGAAGGAGATGTATTCCTGGATAGTGAGTGCTGAAACTAAAATATCCAATATTGTCATGACAGATCAATATCCCCAGAGGTCCTTAAAAGATGTGCTAAATGACTTGTTGAGAGAAGCATCTGAGAAGCTTGCAGAGGGAGAAAATAAAATCCAAGACGATCTAGTAAAATACTTTGAAAAGGAAGATGGCCATGTCAATCTGGTGGAAAAATACAAGGAGGACTTTGTGTGTAGTGCTAAAACACTGAGACGAGAGACAGAAAACACAGTGAAGAACAAACTGCAAGGAGCTGTTGAAATCAAAGAGGGAATGACAGAACTGAACAACATCATGCGCTCTCAGGCAAGTACAATGGAGCAAAAGGTACTAGAATTGCTTCAGAATTGTAGACAGGATAAATATGTTCTATCAGATGAGGCCCTCAGTAAAGAGTTTGAAATCATGTGGAAGAAAACTCTTTCTGAGATACACTTCAAAGGACTCCCACAACGAGATGTGGCTCAAGATGCCTTCCTTATGTTAAGACGAAATCTATCAACAAGGGGTGGGCATGTCAATAGTATGGTGGTTCGAAACAATCTGGTGGATTGTGGTAAAAAGGAATTTGCTATGGAATCTGGGGGTTTAGGGAAGAAAATTGGGGGCTTAGTTATGCACTGGGATAGCGACCATTACAGAAAGAAACTACAAGAGTTGTGTGATGACATCATAACACAGTGTCAGGACTTGATAACCCAGAAGGTGGAAAACAAAACAGATTACCATTATGCTTACATCAAAGAGCTGTTGAACAAGATTGATGAAACGTTGCAACAACACAAGAATGTAAAAGTAAATGAGGAATGTGAGGTTTCTCTGAAGCTACACATCTGTGGCAGAGCAGCCGGAGAGTTTCAGAAGATGCATGATGATTTCATTAATCTTAATGACCCAAGGAAGTGTCTGGAACAGTCTAAGAGCAAGTACCTTACTGAGTTCATAGACTTGTTTCATAACCAAGACCAGTGCCAAAAGAAAGCTGAGGAGTTCTCAAAGTTCTTATAGCCAGCTGTACAGGACTATGTGACCAAAATGATTGGTCCTGATGTAGTTGATGAAGTGAAGAAAGGTAAAGGGTCAGAGGAGTACAGCACACGGACGGCCTTCCAGTTCTCCATTTTGAAACAACTCCTGACAGATGGAGAATATGAGAAATATAAAAGGTACATAAAGGATTATGAAAGCTTTGTGAATGACTGGCTGTTTGATCAGATTGTCCAACAACTCTCAGATGAGAGCAGTCTGAAAAAATTGGAGAAGAAACATATTTCAAAGATAGTCAAGATGATCACTGACGCAATCTCTAACATCAGAGAAACAACTGGCAAAAAAAATGTAAATGATGTCAAGACATTCATTAAGAACATCTGTAGTGCCCTTGAAGAGAAGCTGGTCCTCAAGGACGCTCTGGATTCCATCTTGATTCTGAACACTGCAGACACAAAAACAGTTTGCTGTCTACCTCACAGACTGTGAGAGAAATGGAGCAGTCACTGGCAGCTTCGTACGACAAGGGAAGAGACATCAAAAAGAGACTCGAATCTCTGCCATTCAAGCCTCAGGAGGAGATGTTCACCAGTCTGTTTGGCTGTGGCAAGCAATGTCCTTTCTGCGGTGTACCCTGTGAAGCAGGGGGGATAGAGCAAAACAAACACCATTCCTCCATTCACCGTTCACAAGGTATCTGTGGTTATAGCGATGTTCATTCAGAGAAATGAGTAATTGAGATATGTTCATCTCTTGTGGTTAGTTGCAAAGCAGCATTCTCCAATGCTGTGACTGGAGGAAAGTTTCACCCCTACAAGGACTACCAGACATATTACCCTGACTGGACCATAACTGGTGATGCCAGCGTTGAGGCGTCAGACTACTGGAAGTATGTGATGGCCAGATTCAATGAGAGAATCGCTACAGACAGAGGAGGCTCAACCCTTCCTGCTGATCTCCCAGAGGACTGGAAGGCATTAACACCTGATGATGCAATGAAGAGCTTGAAAGAGTCTTTCAACATGAAATAAAGTGGAGTAATACTGTATATTATGACTTGTTGACCAACATGTTAACATAAAATGGAACATTCAAAGACTTGACAACTAGAAATAACTCTCATGACATGGATATATCACAGAATCAAAATATAATTAGCCAGTCGCCCATACAAGAGTTTTTGAAATAATGTGCAGAACTGGAAATACACAACTGGATCACAGAAAGTCATATAAAATACATTCATAAACAATATGACCTCTTAGTAATTTACAGATCTGATGTTCCATAAGGAAATAGCTAACACTTTGAATTTGATGTCAAAGGAATAACGTTTTCTAATCAGATGGAGATGTAAGCAAATTCAGAAATCCTACAAATAAGAAAAGTAAAGGTGAACACCAACATGTTAACCAACAGATTCAGTGTTTTACTTGATAATGTCCATAAATAAACACAATACACAGGTACATAAGGAGCTAGTCTGACATTGTTTATTTAGTTTCAATTATAACAATTATAGTTCTGTCATTTACTTACCATCTAACCTATGGCTTGATATGCCTTGATTAAATATTCATGATTAGAAGGGACTGCATGGTTCAGTGGGAAACTGTTGGCTTGGCTTTTGTTTTTATTTTACGCTTTGCGTTTTCATCCTAATGGCAAGTTTATTGTGAAAAAAATGCATTTCTTTTAATATGAGGTATTACAACATTATTATACTTTCAATAATTTACGTCATCAACAATTATTACGAAGTAGATTTAAAACATGTTTTTATTGGACCACACCTTAATAGTGATTTGTTCAATGACATGGCCGGTTTTTAAGGTATTTCCCCAACGTCCTCAATTTCAAAGTCAATCTTGAGCAATATCCCGGAGATGATTTTTTTTTTGGATGATTTTCTTTTGGGTTGATGATGATAGATGTTTTTCGTTTGTTGTTTGTTTGGAGGTTTTTATTTTGTTTTTGATGATGATAATTGAAATTGTTGTTTTTGTTTTTTTTTTTTGCTGTTGAGATGACATTTTTTATTTAAATGACAAAAAGTATGGATTTATGTTTAATAATGTGAGTTTGAACCTGTGTGTTTGTCTAGGACCCGGGGTTCCCCCCCTGCCCAAAGAAAAATCTTAAATTCCCAATGTAAATTAAAAAGGGCCCAAAAACCCCGGAAACCCCCCTAATTTTAGCGTTCTTGCTCTGAGACGTTGAATTTTCACCCCCGGGGAAATTAAAAAACTAAAAATTGAAAAACTAGGGGGGGTTTTTGTTGGTATGTAAACTGTGGAAATTAAACAAAACCAATCCCTTCTCTTCCTTTTTCTCCTCCCTTTGGAAAATCTGATCTGTTTTGGAAGATCAGTCAAGGGGGAAAACCCGTTTTCTAGAGGGCCCTAAAGAAAAAGACCCAAATTTGTAAAAGGGGTTTGGTGTTGGGTTAAAATAAAAAAAGAAAGTCCTTGGTTCTTAGTTTTGAAGACCAAAAATTTGAAACCTTTATAATTTAAATTATTCTAATCCAAAAATTTTACCAATATATTTATCCAGTATTTTCTATATTTTTATATGCATGATGGGGGAATCATTTAAAAATGTTTATACTGTTTTGGGAAATCCCACTCTTTTCAAAAATTTCGGGAAAACCAAAGTTAAAAGGGCCGCAGACAAGCGACAGAAAAAATTCCCTCCCCCGGGCCCCTTCTGGCCCAGTGAATACAGGGCCCAAGGGAATTTCTAAAAATTTGATTTGGTTGCCCAAAGTCGAACCATGTTTTTTTAAGTCCCTTTGGGGTCAGCCCTTTAGTACCATTTTAAAAACTGCGGGAAAACCTTTCATTTTTATCCCTATTTGGAAAATTTGGTTTCCCCTTTGGTCAACTCTAATTCTGGTTTTTGTAAGGACGGCCGGGGGGAACCTCCCATGTAAACCCCAATAAAATGTAGGGGGGGGTTTTGGGGGTTTTACCAATTGTGTGTGGTTTTTGGCAAAAAAAAGACATGTAACATTTAAGGTGTTTTGTTGAAGTGAACCCTTCCCACCAGGGTGTATTAAAATAATTTGGCCCCGGGGAAAACCCTGTCATAAAATTTTTTTAATTTGTTAAATCAATCAATAAATCAAAAAATTTTTTTTTATATACCCCTTGTACATAGTAATATCTAAAAAGTGCTGTACAGAAACCCCCCAAAAACCCCAAAAAAGCTAGAAAGCAGGTGTAGAAAGCAGGGTTGGCTGGAAAAAAATCCCTAGAAAGGCCAAAACCTAGGAAGAAACTAGAGGGGAAACCAGGCTATGAGGGGTGGCAAGTCCTTTTCTGGCGGCCAGGTGGGGGTTTAAAACCCGAAAAATCCCCAAGATGTTAAAAAAAGGGTTCATAAGTGACAAGAAATGGTAAATAATAATCGGAAAAAATCTCATTTGGTTTTTCATACCCGATCTTTAAGATTTTTAAAAAACAGGGGTTTGGGGGACAGGTGGGGGGTTCCATAACCGCAGACATTTGAAAAACGGGAAAAATTAGCAGAAAGGGGCCCGGGCGGACGGGGGAAAGAAAGGGAGAAAGGAGTCATCAAAATTTTAAATTTATTTAATTTTCCCAATTTTAAATTTTTGGGTTTTATTGAAAAAAACCCAAACGATCTCACCACTTGTTACTATTTTAATTCTATTTAATAATCACAATTAGTCATCACCCCAGTAGGGGTTGGTGGGTTTAAAAAAATAACGGGGGAAAGTCCAAAAAAAAAAAAAAAGCCATTTTTAAAAAAACCCTATGGTTTTAAATGCGTTGTTTTTTGGCCTTCAAAACCCTTTTTAGTTCTAGCTTGACACCTTGTTAAAATGGGCCTAAAGCCGAGACAATAAGAAGAAGGGCAGAATAAATTCACCCAAATTTTTTTAATCACAACCCCGGAGAAGCAACTTTGGTTGGGGTGATCACACGGGAAAAAATTAGGTTCAAACCCACCCTTGTTTTCCGTTCTTCTAACATCTACCCCCTTAAAAACAGGTCAGTTTTTCGGGGTGTTTAGTATGGGGTTCGACATCTTACACTACAAACGGGTCGGGATCTGGTGATAGTAAGTTTTCCCTGACTTTAACTACTAAAAAGGGTCATTTATCTGGGGATATTATATGGTTCTGACATTTTAACTACTATACAGGTCAGTTTTTGGGGTATAGTATAGTTTTCCGCATTTTTCATTTTACTATAACGGGTCCAGTTTTTTGGTGTTTGTAAGGTTTTTGACATCTACACTACTAAAAAGGGTCAGTTACCTGGTGATGGGAAAGTGTTCTGAAAATCACACTATATAACGGGTCGGGTATCTGGGGGGATAGTATAGTTTTCTGACATCTACACTACTAAAAAACGGGTCAGTTATCTGGTTGTTTAGTATAGTGTTTGAATTTACAACTATAGCAGGTCATTTATCTGGTGAAAAGTATGGGTTTCCTGACTCTACACTATATAAAGGTCGGGTTTTTCTGGTAAATGGTATAGTGTTCTGACATTACAATAAAAAACCGGTCGGGTATCTGGTGATGATAGTGTTCTGACATTCCCACTACTATAACAGGTCATTATCTGGTGAGGGTAAGTGTTCTGACATCACACTACTAAAGGTCTTTAAATTGGGTGTAGTATGTTTTTGGACTTTACACTACTATAAAGGTCAGTTATCTGGGTGTTTAAGTATAGTGTTTGACATCTACACATTAACCCGGTCATTTAACTGGTGATAGAATATTTGGTTTAAACATTAACTATTATAACGGGGCAGTTATTGATGATAGTTAGTTTTGTTGGAAATTTTAAAACTATAACAGGCCCATTTTATCTGGTGTTTAGTATGGGGTTCTAAACATCTCCCACACTTAAACGGGCCCATTTATCTGGTGTAAGTGATATCTTACTGAGTTTATACTGCCCGCCCTTTACTTACCAAAACCCTATGGGCTATATGCCTTGATTTAAATATTCATGATTAAAAAACTGCTGGTTCATTTGGGGAAACTGTTGGCTTGGCTTTTGTTTTTATTTTACGCTTTGCGTTTTCATCCTAATGCAAGTTTTATTGTGAAAAAATGCATTTCTTGTTTAATATAGAGGTATTACACATTTATTATACTTTCAATAATTTACGTCATCAACAATTATTACGAAGTAGATTTAAAACATGTTTTTATTGGACCACACCTTAATAGTGATTTGTTCAATGACATGGCCGGTTTTTAAGGTATTTCCCCCAACGTCCTCAATTTCAAAGTCAATCTTGAGCAATATGCCTGGATGATGATTTTATTTTTGATGATTTTCTTCTTGTTGATGATGATGATGATGATTTTCGTCTTGTTGTTGATGATGGTTTTCTTCTTGTTGTTGATGATGATAATTGCATTGTTGTTGTTGATTATTTTATTTTTTGCTGTTGATGATGACATTTTTCTAGTTAATGACAACAAGTATGGTATTTATGATAATAATGTGAGTTTGAACTCTGTAGTGCTGATCTAGGATCAGGTCCTCCCTGTCCACGTAATCTTATTCAATGTGATCTAAAAGGCTAAACGGATCCTAAGTTAGCGCTCTTGCTCTGAGACGCTTGATATGTTCAGCCCCTGGTAATTAAAAAACTGAATTGACCACTAGATGGGGGTGTTGGTATGTCAACTGTGGAAATGTAAACAGACCAATCCCTTCTCTCCTTGTCTCCTCCCCTGAATCTGATCTGATTGGCAGATCAGTCAAGGAGAGAACCGATTTCTAGACGACTGAGAAAGAGCCAAAGTGTATAAGGGTAGTGTTGTGTGTTGAATAAAATAAGTAGTCCTTGGTTCTATAGTTTTGAAGACCAAAATTTGAACCTATATATATTCTAAATTATTCTAATCCAATATATACCCAATATATTTATCCAGTATATTCTATATATTATATGCATGCACTGTGTGAATCAGTAGAATGTTTATACTGTGTTGGAATCCTCACTACTGTTCAGAAATCAGAAACCACGCTTA